CGACAAAAAGATGAAAAAAGGGAAAAATATTGAAATTTCGACAAAATCACGAAAAATGTGAAAAATCTAGAAATTTCGTCAAATTTACGAAAAATGTGAAAAATCTTGAAATTTCGTCAAAATTACAAAAAATGGGAAAAACTTGAAATTTCCACAAAATTACGAAAAATGTGAAAAATCGTGAAATTTCGACAAATTCACGAAAAATGTGAAAAAAGTGAAAATGTGAAATATCATGAAATCCGACAAAATAATGAAAAATGTGAAAAATGTGAAAAATCTTGAAATTTCGACAGAATGTTGAAAAATGTGAAAAATCTTGAAATTTCGACAAAAAGATGAAAAATGATGAAAAAAGTAAAAAATGTGAAAAATCTTGAAGATTCGACGAAATGATGAAAAATGATGAAAAATGAGAAAAATGTGAAAATCTTGAAATTTCATCAAATTTACGAAAAATGTAAAAAAATCTTAAAATTTCATCATATTTACGAAAAATGTGAAAAATCTGGAAATTTCGACGAAATGATGAAAAATATGAAAAATCTGAAAATTCCGAATAAATGATGAAAAAAGTGAAAATCTTGAAATTTCATTAAATATACGAAAAATGTGAAAAATCTGGAAATTTCGACGAAATGATGAAAAATATGAAAAATCTTAAAATTCCGAAAAAATGGTGAAAAAAGTGAAAATCTTGAAATTTCATTAAATATACGAAAAATGTGAAAAATCTTGAAATTTCGACAAACAGACGAAAAATGATGAAAAAAGTAAGAAATGTGAAAATTCTTGAAGAGTCGACAAAATGAAGAATGTGAAAAATCTTGACATTTCGTCAAATTTACGAAAAATGTGAAAAATCTGGAAATTTCGACGAAATGATGAAAAATATGAAAAATCTTAAAATTCCGAAAAAATGTAAAAAAAAGTGAAAATCAGGAAATTTCATCAAATATACGAAAAATCTTGAAATTTCGTCAAATTTACGAAAAATGTGAAAATTCTTGAAATTTTGACGAAATTATGAAAAAAGTGAAAATTCATGAAATTTCGACGAAATAATGAAAAAAATGGAAATTCATGAAATTTCGAAAAAAGGAAAAAATCTTGAAATTTCGTGAAATTGCCGAAGATGATCAAAGTCCATGCGCATTGCTTGTGTGAGGTTCAAAAATAATTTTTGTTTTCTTTTCATTCATTTCCCTTGTCTTTTTACGTTCTATCTTAATTTTATATATATATATATACAACTAAATAAAATCAACTTTAATTAGTTGGGTATCGATGCCACCTAAAGCATGATACCCTTGAATCAATTCAGGGGCCTAAAGGTTCTTCGATTCGGCCCAACACAGTGGTCACACTGGTCAAACTTCCAAGCAATAGGTGGACACCAGGTGGACATTGGACGGTCGACGATAGGTAACTGTTGACAATTTTAAAAAGTTTTTTTCTCGCACAGGGTGCGCAAAGTTCGATTTTGCGCACGCTTTTCCGTGTGCAAAACCCTTGATTCCCGCACGCTTATCGTAACACGGAACTGCGCATGCGCAAACCCATTCCCGCACGGGGAAATACTTTGTGCACGCTAACTGCGTGGGGGAAATACTTTGCGCACGGAAATAATGCGTCAATGCCTACAAAGTTTAACGAGGGAATACTGGGGAAGATACATTTTTCCCGATTACTGTAATTGGCGAAGACAAATTTTCGCCAGTTACTGTAATTAAGGAAGATAAATTTTCTTCTATGAAAAAAATCTAGGAAAAATCAATTTTATTTTTTATCTCCAGACATATTTATGATTACATTACAGTTATAAAAATTTAATGTAATTTAAATGTTTTTAAATTTAATGTTTATTCAAATCTATTGTATTTGCCAAATTTATTTCTGTAGCACCTTTTGTTTAGACATTTTTGTTGAATTGAAAGGAACTAGAAAGGACAAACGCGAAAGGACAACTGCCAAATTTGTACTGGCAGAATATTTTCCGTCGGACCTCAAGAACATAGTTTTTGAATTTTCATTTTTAAAAATGAGTTGCGTGGAGTGGGAAAGGACTTCGTTTTCCCAATATTTTTCGCCATCTACATTGTCAATGGGGAAAAAAATGTATTGCGTGTTTTTACACATTTATTCCTTAATTATAAAACCTTCTTTTTCCACCCATCTCACAAATTCAAAGTATAATCGAACTTTTCGCATCTCGTACGAGAAAATAGTATTCGATACGCGTGCGAAAAGTAGGCGATCATGCACGCGCGTTACCGACCTCGCTTCGCTCGGTCGGTAACCCTCGCGCGTGCGGGAATCGCCTACTTTGCGCACTTGTGTCGTAATGTACTATTAAATTTTATTACTTGAGTTTGCATATAGTTGTAAATTTGCTTATTAGATCGCTTTACTTGTCAATTTCACAAATAAACTCCAATCAAATAACAGCCTCGCGCGAAAACATCGCTACAATGTTACAATGTTACCAGTTGCAATGTATGCCGTATAATTCTCTCATGTGATGATACCATAAAGAAAGAAAACATGTGGAGGCATCTAAGCCTCCACGAGTTGACACCACGCGGCAGCACAAACGCAAGCAGCTCCTCGAGCCGCGGAGCTGGCTTCCACACTCTCTCGCTAGCAAGTTGGCCGCAGCGCACTCAAGCCTGCTTTCTTGCACTACCTAAGTTATAAGTTACTTTTAGTTTTGGTCTGTACAGTACGAATAAATACATTATTACTGGACTTCGTGTTAAGCCATAAAACACCTTCATCCACCTCACGTTCCGCAAAAACATAAACCGATTGTCATAACCTTTTCGCAATGTGGTTGCGTTTACAGTGTCGCTTGCGTGAATGTTTGAATAACTTGTTTAGTATTTGATAAATAGTGTGCTTTTTCTTTTGCCAATATTCAATCTTACGAATTTTGATTAATGCAATTTTGTAATGTTACAGAAAGTATCTTTATCGCCGTTAATTTATCTCTACTTAGGCAAGTCGATTACTACTACTGAAAATCACAAATATTAGCAAATATTATTTAAGTTGGCCCCTCCATTGATAGATGAGTTCCTAAAGTACAATTTTTAATCAACAGTTTTGTAAGATAATGGGAACTAGAGCAGTGCCTGTAACATCAGCAGCAAGTGCAGTCGTGGTACCAGGTGAATCTAATTTTGCTGCAGTCATGAGGCTTTTAGAAGACTTAGCTAGGCTCTCGGAAGACAAGGAGTCTGCCGATGTGGTATTTCTTCTTGGCAGAGAAGAAACTCCGGTTTACGCTCACAGAATAATCATGCAAGCCAGGTGTAAGAACTTTTCTGTGGGAAAGCGTACTGGATCAGCTGGTAATCCTACTCCCATAAGAATGCCACACGCACACCCGGAAACTTTCAGACGGTTTATTCATTATATTTACACGGGCAAGATAATACTGGAGGACAGTGGAATATTTGAGATGCTAGGTCTTGCACAGGAAATGGGTGTAGAGGAGTTATGGCAAAGTTGCGAAGAACATGTCTCGATGACTCTGAGTCCTGGCAATGCTTGTACGCTGCTAAGTGCTGCACTCGATGCTCAAGAAAGAGTTCTTGGAGGAACAGGAGCATGCTCGTCTTTTATTGAAAAGTGTTTTGCGTATATTGGAGAGAATGCCATAGATACCGTCAAGACCAATGCATTTTGCAATTTGCCAAAGGATGCAGTAATCAAACTCATCTCGTCGGACTATTTAGGTTTGGAAGAAGAAGATGTATGGAGAGCTGTACTCAACTGGGCAAAATATCAAGCAGGTGTTACTCAACCTACGCAACACTGGACTGAAGAGGAAAGAGCCAGAGTTTGTCAATACTTGGCTGGCGTGATAAATCACGTTAGGCTGTTACTGATAGACAGCCAAGTTTTTGCAGAGGAAGTTGAACCTACCGGAGCTGTGCCCATTGAGTTATCCTTGGAGAGATACAGGTATGTATTAGCTGAGAAAAATTAATTCGTTTCCAACTGTACTGATTATAATAAACACTGGTGGCAGGATTGCAGCGTTGCCTAAGAAACATGCAGACAACTGTTCGGACAAGCGACTCCAGCCACGAGTTGGTCCATTCTTGTTTCCTGGCTCGCAGATTCTCTCGAAAGATAAAATAGGATTCCAAAGACTACTAAACCAGTGGTACGGTGTTCCCAAGCAGTCATGGAGACTGCAGTATCGAGCCTCGAGTCATGGATACACGGCTTCGACTTTTCATAAGTACTGCGATGGGGTGTCACCAACCTATGTTATATGTCTTGGTAAGCGGAGATAAATAAGTTGAATTGGGAATATTTCTCTATCTAAAGTTTATGTTTTTAAGAATATCAAAGTTTGAAATATAAAATGCTGATTCAGAAATAATTTGTAGCTGTAAAGGATAATCGATTAAAAAAAAATTGTTTTTCACTGCAAAATTCTGTAGGACCAAGAGGACAGATCTGCGGTGGCTTCAGTGATATTCCATGGGGCAAAACAAGCACCAAGGTACATCATTATATTCCCTCGGATAGAGCCTTTCTCTTCACGCTCATCAATGATCAAGATGTGGCACCAACGAAATTTGATGTTGTGAAAAAACCATTCGCAATTTGCTACCATCCGGATATAGGGCCTATCTTTGGTGCTGGAGCTGATTTATTAATTTCCAGCAATTGCAATATGAATATGGACAGCTATAGTAACTTGCCTCATAGCTACGAGGGCGAGAATGCTTCGAATGCAATTTTAATGGGTGATTATTATTTTTCCGTCGTTGATTATGAAGTGTTTACTTTGAGTAACGTTTCGGGAAAATCAAGTCATTGATATTTTCTATGTATGTTATACATATTTAATATTTTTTTCTCCTACACCATTTCAAAAAATGGCAGGGAAGATGGGTCTACATACACTCATGACTAATGCGTTCAAGTACCTATAATGTACTTTTGCAGCGTTCTACATGGACGTAATTCTTGAAGTCATAATAACAATAATAATAACAATATTGTTATTCCAAGTAATAAGTCATAGTTTTGTAAGCTATCATTTTCTGTATGGCCATATCAATCGTTGTACTTTTTATTTTATCTACGAGTTTTTAAAATGTTACGTGGGCCTCGGGAACAGTATTATATCGAAACGTCCATCGCACTTATGTTAAAATACTCAATTTTTTAATCAAATGTCACTGAAATTTTTATATACAACTTTTATAATACGATATATAATTTTGATAGTATAATTATAATAATAAAATATTTTATACATTTTTTAACAGTTTTCTGCTATTTATATTTTCTTATTGATAAACCTGCACAGTGATTTTTCAATAACAACACTTTTTTGCATTGCTGATTCGCGCAAATGAAAATGACAGAATAAAATAAATCATTCAGTTGTAGCTTTGTACTGAGATTACATTATTTCGTTGCTCTATCTAGATAATGAAGGCGTACATATTTTTCTGTAATATAAATTTTACGTTCAAACTTCAATGCTCTTCGCTAATAAAAACATTTGATCGGCATTTCATAAACAAAAATGGTCGTCATTGCGCTTAAATAGCGGCCAAGTGACGTTCCATTTGCATTGCCAATTACATTGCCCTAGTTGTACATAAGAATTGACAGTTGGTCTTCTAAACATTTTATTTGATGTACGTTATTTCATTCTGCAAAGATTGCGAAGATTGATTATTCGTAGAATATTGATAAATATAAATAGTAGTATGACTTCAATTTTCTTCTTATTATCGCGTGGAGCGATCGCACTCGAGAAATTGACGCATTTTCACCAAATTAATAAGCTCTATCGAAATATCAATTGATCACCCGTTATTCATCGATGTCGATTGAAATTTGTCATTGCACGCGATGCGTACAGCTTTTGGAAACGAGCGCGACGCTTTAACTCGAATATAGAGGCACTTGGCGAGGTTGGAGCCCGTTCTCCTGGAACACATGTCACGTATGCCATATACGGAAAGGAATTTCACTCTTTCCAATCTCGTTGCGGACAACTTCCACCGATCCCTTCGCATTCGCTTTCAGCAATTGTATAACAGCGGCACTCTTACTTTTATTTTTTTTTAAATCTCGATCGCCTACTGTCCAGGAAGCTCGATATTTTTTCCAGGCGGAGACCTCCTTCATCGATTTCAGTCAACTTGTATGCAGCCCCCACATGCTCGGTGGAATCCTTCGGTGGTTCGAATCCGTCACCGACGCGCGCGTATCCTATTTTATTTTCTTCCTATCGGACGGATCATCGCTGACTCTTCGATTGAAGGAAACACGTAGCAGCGCTGTAACGAACGTAAAGATTGTTCCTGAAACGCGCGCGTTTTAATGAAGATCAGCAGCCAATCATGAGACAGCAGAGCCGCGTGCTCACAGCTGTATCACAAACGAATTCAGCAACCAGTCTGCTTTAATTGAAACTCGCGTAACTTACGCGAACGTACCTCTGACGCAAATAAAAATTTCGTAATTGACGTTGGCCACCGACGGTCAATTTTCTTCTTATTACCAAAATACCCGCAAATCTGCATTTATAAATGACGATTTAGAACGAATGTTCTATTTTCATCTAGCTTCATCCCTCGCTGCGGTGTTTGTAAACAATGTAAACACTGCGCAAGCTCGTATGCATAGCTTATTGGTGGCACTGCGGACGGCGGGAGCAGCAATAGCGCCTACTCCGCAGTCAAAACAAGCGCCACGCCAAAAGTGCTCAGTAATCTGACGGGAGTCACGTGACCTGACGCGACTCCGGGAAGTGATCAGAATTAGAAGTGGTAAAGAGTGTATAGTGGTTCTGGTCTGATTTAAACTCTAACAGTGCACACAGTGAAAAGCAAGGGTATTCCTTGACTTGCCGCGGCCACGCGACGCTGGGACTGCACTGCACGAACTCATCCATGTAAGTTGTTTCCGGTTTTTGACTTTTACGTAAAGGTCGATCCATGCTACGCTTGCGATTCTCTCGTAGTTCTGTTAGCGATAGCAGTATTTTGAGGTTAGGTTCTGCATGATTTCTGCGATATTTTCACTGATAGAATGTATTTTTCTGACGATTCACGACTTGCAGCTAACTAAAAATGTCGGACTCTGAGGAGGGAAGTGTCTATTCGGACAATGAGAGTGAGAGAGGAGGAAGACGAGGTGGTGGCAGTGAAAGTGGCCACTCTGTTAGGTCTGGCAATGTCAGTGAAGCTGGTAGTCCAGCAAGGTCAAGATCCAGGTCGCACAGCATTTCCAGGAGCAGGAGTCGTTCGGTCTCCAGATCCAGAAGTAGATCTGGCTATAGGTCTGGCTCCAGATCCAGATCAAGATCGAGATCTGGTTCACGTTCAGGGTTAATACTCATCGTATGTTATATACAGGAGTCGGAGAATCTATGATCACTCATGAGATCGTAATATTTCAGGTCAGCGAGAGATGATGAGGCAGAGGAAGCTAATTCTGAAGAGGAACCTGAGCCCGAGGAAGAGCCCGAAGGCAAGTACTTCGTTCCGTTTATATCTTGTGTGCCACTAAGTTGACAGTCACTAGTTTGTTAATGTATTATAGGAGAGGACCTGGACGAATATGACGAGGAGGAAGATGAAGAAGACGATGACAAGCCTAGAAAGAAAAAGAGGAAACATGGTGTACAGGATTTCATTCTTGCGGAAGCTGAAGTAGACGACGAGGTTGAAGACGATGAAGAATGGGAAGAGGGTGCCCAAGAAATTGGTATCGTTGGTAATGAAGTTGACGAGAGTGGTCTTACAGCCAGAGAAATTGAAGGTCGTAGAAGAAGAGGAACTAGTCTGTGGGAGTAAGTAATGCGATCAAATTTTTAAATATTTTAAAAAACTGAATTGTATAGGTGATTATTTTTTTAGCTCGCAGAAAGAGGATGAAATTGAAGAGTATCTCAGAAATAAGTATGCGAATGAGTCATCGGCTGCACACCGTTTTGGTGATGGTGGTGAGGAGATGAGCGATGAAATCACACAACAAACTCTGCTTCCTGGTGTAAAAGATCCAAATTTATGGATGGTTAAATGTCGAATCGGGGAGGAAAAGTCTACTGTCTTGTTGCTTATGAGGAAATTTCTTACCTATCAATTTTCTGGTGAGAAAAAGATATATTTATCGCGAATGAAAAACATTTATTTATCAACTTATTTGTTTATAAAACAGGGGAGCCTCTGCAAATAAAATCGGTAGTCGTACCAGAAGGCGTTAAAGGTTACATCTACATTGAGGCATATAAGCAACCGCACGTAAAATCGGCGATTGAGAATGTGGGCAACTTGAAAATGGGAATCTGGAAACAGCAGATGGTGCCGATCAAAGAGATGACAGACGTTCTCCGTGTAGTTAAAGAACAAACCGGATTGAAAGCAAAGCAGTGGGTCCGGCTAAAAAGAGGATTGTACAAAGATGACATAGCCCAGGTGGACTATGTAGATTTAGCTCAGAATCAAGTGCATTTAAAATTATTGCCAAGGATTGACTATACGAGACCTCGAGGTGCATTGAGAACAGCACAAAGTGAATCGGAAGCAGCTAAGAGAAAGAAGAAGAGGAGGCCACCAGCTAAACCTTTCGACCCTGAAGCTATAAGAGCCATTGGTGGCGAGGTAGCAAGTGATGGTGACTTTTTGATTTTCGAGGCTAATAGATATAGCAGAAAAGGATTTTTGTATAAGAACTTTACAACCAACGCTATTATATCTGAAGGCGTAAAGCCTACACTTTCTGAACTTGAAAAATTTGAAGAAGCCCCGGAAGGGGTTGATCTTGAACTCAGTGGTGCACCAGTGACTGGAGTTTCAACCGGCAAAGACGATGCCACTGTAACGCATACTTTCAGTACTGGTGATAATGTAGAGGTTGCTGAGGGTGAATTGATGAATCTTCAGGGTAAAATTGTGTCCATAGATGGTAATATGATTATGGTGATGCCCAAACACGAAGAGTTGAAAGAGGCACTCGAGTTCCAGTCTACTGAATTAAGAAAATATTTTACAATGGGTGACCATGTTAAGGTAATTTTATTTTTCTTCAATTTTCTAAAAGTTATACAAGTTTAAAATAGGCAATGTCTTTTAATCAATTGATATTTGTTAGGTATTTTAAAAATAAATACAATTTTTCTCATCGTATTTATTAGCCCCCCCCCCCTCCCCCCATATCTATCAACCTCTACCAATGACTTTTAGATATTAGAAAACTATTTAACTTTTGCAGGTGGTAGCAGGCAGATACGAAGGCGATACAGGTTTGATCGTGCGAGTCGAGCCAAATCGAGTGGTCCTCTTTTCCGATTTGTCGATGCACGAGTTGGAAGTTCTACCTCGTGACTTGCAACTCTGTTCGGATATGGCCACAGGTGTTGACAGTCTTGGTCAATTTCAGTGGGGTGATCTTGTGCAACTTGATCCGCAGACTGTTGGTGTAATTGTGCGTCTCGAGCGCGAAAACTTCCACGTACTGTCGATGCACGGCAAAGTCGTCGAAGCCAGACCACAGGGTTTGACAAAACGACGGGAGAATAGAAACACAGTGGCGTTGGATTCACAACAAAACACCATACAGAAGAAAGATATAGTAAAAGTCGTTGACGGACCTCATTCCGGACGTGGAGGCGAGATCAAACATTTATATAGGAGTTTTGCATTTTTACACTCGAGGATGTTCATCGATAACGGCGGTATTTTTGTGTGCAAGACGAGGCATTTACAACTCGCTGGAGGTAACAAAGCTAGCACGGGCTCGGCCATTTCGCCAATTGTTAGTGGATTTATGTCGCCGAGAATAGCTTCACCAGCTCATCCCAGCGGGTAAGTCTTGAAAGTTGTTTATCAAAACTAAACGCACTATTCAAAATCATTCGTTGAACAATGTTTTGTTGACTTTCTTCCTACAACAGTGGTGGTTTCGGTCGAGGCGGTGGCGGCGGAGGAGGCGGCAGAGGTCGAGGTCGTGGAGGTGGTGCGCGTCGTGATCGCGATCTAATTGGCACGACGATCAAAATCACAGGAGGACCTTACAAAGGCAATGTTGGTATCGTAAAAGACGCTACGGAAACAACAGCTCGCGTCGAATTGCACTCCACGTGTCAGACGATTTCCGTCGATCGTTCGCATATTGCCAATGTTGGCGTACCGACAAAAGACGGTGGATTCAGCAGCTACAGTCGCACACCTGCCTATGGTGGTGGTAGTCAGACGCCCATGTACTCTGGTGGAAAGACACCCATGCATGGCTCTCAGACACCTATGTATGAAAGTGAGTTCGTTTGATTGCTTTTGAAAAATGAGTCCAAATGGTTCGTTTTTATCTATTCGACAATATCTATTTCAGCTGGTTCACGTACACCTCACTACGGCTCGATGACGCCATCGCACGACGCTGGCTCCAGAACACCCGGACAGTCCGGAGCTTGGGATCCAACGGTAACAAACACACCGGCACGTAACAACGACTTTGGTGATTACAATATCGAGGATGGAGGTTCACCGAGCTACGCTCCAGGTGGCTATCCTCCAGGTCCATTCACGCCGCAAACTCCAGGAACTATGTATGGTTCCGAACAGAGTTTTGGCCCTTATCAAACGAGTCCTAGTCCAGTGGCTAGTGCAACTGCCAGTCCAAGTCCTGCTGCTTATGGCAGCACACCTTCGCCGGCCGGCACTGGTTACACAACGAGTCCACACGGAGCGTTTGCTTCACCTTCGCCAATGGGATACAGTCCTATGACCCCAGGTTAGTATTTTACTTTTTTGATGACATTTAATTCAGTGTTTTGTTATGAATCGAGTGATTATTAATTGTATTGTGCAGGAGGTGCTGGTAGTCCGTATAATCCACAGACTCCGGGTTCTGCCATTGACACGCATTCTTCTGGTATGATGGGCATTGACTGGCATACGACAGATATTGAAGTTAGAATTAAGGATTCTAATCAAGACAGCGATTTAGCTGGACAGCAAGGATACATAACAACTGTTTCGGTTGGTGGTTTTATTACTCACTTGATACGTCGATAAGATTTTTTTTAACATAATTTCCATAAAGTCATCGCCTTAATTACAATTAAAATGCATTAAAAACGTTGCATTTTTTTACAGGGTGGAATGTGCACAGTTTTCTTACCCCGCGAAGATCGTTCAGTCAACATAATATGTGATCAGCTAGAACCTGTCGTTCCATCTCAAAACGATAGAGTAAAAGTGATTATTGGAGAAGATCGTGAATCGGTCGGTACTCTTTTGTCTATTGACAATCAAGAGGGTGTCTTCAAATCTAATGCAGGGGAAGTGAAAATGTTGCAGTTGAGATTTTTATGCAAGATGAGATCATCTTAATCAATTATTGATGACATATAATCTTATTGTTTTTTTTAGTTTTATTCCTTTTATTGTAACATAGTAATAATTGTACATTTAAAAGTTTGAATATCGCAAATTTGCGTGTAAGTCAAATGAAATTCGATTGTTTAGTGATTTCAACCGACGCTCGATTTTTGAGCATCTTTTAACAACTGCGCTATGAAAAATTTTTACTTAGGAATTCCAATTTACTTTACAAGTATGTAAAACAGATTAATTGACTGTCAATTTTAAATTATTTTGTGTCTATTTTTATCAGACTTATTAAAAGCATTTTTAAATGAGAAGAGAAGATTTACGTTGCTTGTTATTTCATACTGTAACTCCATATCCACTTCGCGATTCCTCGGTGGGATAGCGTCAGAGCGCACTGCGCAACTATGACTGGAAATATTTTGCCAACGTGTGAAGTAATAACAAAGTGCTTGACGACGATAATATAACCGTGAAAGTAGTGCATTGGTTGAGTGTCACATGGGACGTATTGGGTTGGGTTATTCTATTATTGCCAATTTCACAAAAAAAGTACGTTGATTAGGCATGGGTCTACCAAACATTCATATTATCGTTAAAAATAATAATAATACGAAACTAAATTACGCCCTCAAGTTTCTGATTTTATCAATAGATGATATTAATATAATGCAAGAATATTTATGGCCATCACCGCGCCATATTGTGACACTCTTACTTTATGTGCTCTTATTTTATAATCGGCCGACCACAAGTACACGAGTTTTTTTCGGGAGTGGATAGAAAACGCGGATTTAAAAAAACAAAGTGCTATAACCTATATAACTTTTGGAGTTGATATGAACAATTTTTAGTAATTTATATAAATGTATGAAAAAATGCGATAGTTTTCATGAAGTTTTAACTTTTGCAAGGAAAACTTTATCATTCAAAATACTCAGTTAATTCTAATTTATATTTCGCTTCTAAGTTAAAAATTTACATGAATTTTTAAAAAATATTTGAAGAACTTTTCAAAAGAATTTTTTATTTTTTTAGAAATGATCATAACATCAAAAAATGTCCCGAATACTTCTTCACAAATTTACACGTAATTAATCCTACTAATACTAAGCATTTCATACAGTATAAATTTTTTATGTAAAGCTGATAACATAAATATCTTTGAATAAAATTTGATTAATATTTATATCACAGTGTGATCAAGAAAACGTCATTTTGTAAAAATGCAGGCAAATTAGTTATTACTTTCTGATTTTTATGTAATTTCAAATACTCCAAGAAACCCATAAAAGCAAACTTTATTTTACGATAAAAGATTTCTCATCCCAATTTCACGCGGTGAGTTATTTTCTGTGTCTCGAAGGAGAAAAATATAATATACATTTCCAGCATTGTCTGTCGAAAATAATAAGAATTATAAAGAATTATAAATTAGTTTCTTTTTATTTGATATTGAAGATATTTTTACGTCATCGTGCACTTTTAGCCCGCATTCAAGAACGTTTTTACAAATCCGCAGCTTTGTGAAAGTCTTGAGCAGAGGCAATCTTTTATTGCATCTTCTTACGTAAGAATTTACCTTTGATAGTGATTGTAAAACCATTGACGATAAGTTCTTACGTAAGAGATATCTTACGTTAGTTTTTACGCAAGTTTTTAGGGTAAGTTCTTCCAAAAGAACTTACTCTCATTTTTTTACGAGGGTAGATTCGTACATTCGAGATCTGTGCTTAACTCAATCGCATGGACGATAACTGAGACAATTTCCACGCTGGCAATTATTGGCGAATTTCACTTTGTCCTGGTGTCAGTCGGATTAGGAAGGTAAAAACGCGTCATAGTTAGCTACATGACCTGATTTCTTCGAGGTGAGATGGGAAAACAATAATGACCTCCGAATTTTTTTATTGCCGCTCCGAACTTACAGATGGTTAGGTACGGAGGAACGTAACTGTCCATCGACCCGAAACGTCTGGGGTTGAGCATGCGTCCCGTCAACTAATCACAGCCCATTGATCGTACGCTAGTTGCTTTGTCTGCCTTTGAAAACCCTCTCCCACTATAATTCTTCAATGATTCTGAATAGAAACGAATAAAGTGATACAATGGTACGAGCAGAATGATTCCTTTACAAAACATTCCGCATAGCAAACGCGATAGGGAAAAGACTCTAAGGATGTAATTAACCAAACTTACATGAATCGAAAATTACTAAACCGTCAAAGCTGCAAAATTAAACGCAACAACTGTTTATTTTATCAACAATATTAACATATTTTAGATCATTTAAATAATTCATTGCCTAGATCAACTTGAACGCGAGTATATTAGTGGGAAAAGTACGTATGCGTTCAGCGATGCAAGTGCTTAAACCGTGAGATACAAGACAAAACCTTTCTTTTCGCGCCAACAGAATTCAGAATTACAACCACGCTTATTTCGAAAAACTGGAGAGAACAATAATTACTGAAACAACCCAACCCCATCCATAAACATATTCAGCTCGTTCTTAGTGGCATAGGGCGATAATTTCTTCTCCGAAAGGTTCTGTTTTCGAGCACCGCTGAAAACTGGACTCCAAAGTTCATTGTGCTGTATGCTAATTTACAATAATAGTAGTGCTAATTGAACAATAATAGAGTAACTCACAAACGAAACCTGGAATAATTGCTGCCGATAGTTTTGGCAAATGCATACTCAGCCTAATAATCTCGCGCTGAATCTATATTTGCGTCATTGAGCTGCAGTTCGAGTTACAGTGAAAATTGGTGTTGGCCGACTATGTTGGAAGTAAAATTATCTGGAACAATTGCTTGTACCGACCATCTGATGTGTACCAGTTGCCGTCGTCCTACAAAACACCTCCAATTGTCATCGATGACATTCCATTCGACCTATCACTTCCTCGCTTAAGCAGCAATAAAACTACTTGTACGTCTGCAGTAAAGTTATAACAATGCTCATGAATTTGAAAGGCGTCGCTGTCAGACTTGATCGTGTTCGCAAGGACTGTTACAACCTGTATCAACAGCCCAAACTTTACAACAAATGCAAGTGCCTTATCGCGTTTGTCTTGAGAATCTTTGATTTATCGATGTAGCGAATCAAATATTACTTTTTCCACAGTTGTAAGCTCAGAGTCGTATTCGGCTTGCCCGTAATTCTATAATCCTATTTTGACGACTGCCTGACCTGGCAGCTTACCAACGATGTCGCAAAAGACCGACGACCTGGATGAACGAAGTTGAATTCGAGGATGCCGATCGCCAGCCTCGATTGTCTTTCGTACTTTTGCTTTTATTCAAATGACACCAACGAGGCCAAAGATTGACTCGTCTTCAAGAGCTTGCCGGGGTAATATCCACGGGAGACCCTGACGCGAGCCGCTTGCCTGCATTCGTAAATCAGTGTCGCACTGCTCATTGTTATCGCTGCATTGGTTTGTGAATTTCGCACGCTCGAATGGACGACCGTGCACGCGCGTGTAACAACTATATCGCCAGACTTTACACAGGTCTACGAAAATCCGCCGACGTCTTATCCAACCTCAAATAAATAAAGGTATGCGCGTTATCGCGTTGCCGGGCGTGACGAGCGCGTCGCGTTTTTTTCCGACGCGCGCACGTGCGATCTTCACTGATCGACGTTCCGCTTGATCGGCGCTCCTTGTCACCGCGACGCGAAGCGTTGCACTGCAATTGTGTACGAGTGCGCTAAGGTGCTCGCAAGTGAAATCGTAATTACTCTTGTTCTCGAATCGCGTGTGATCGTGCGAACCGTTATCGCCGAATCCTGATATTTTGTACGCAGGTAAGCGGCATTTCATTGACATCTTGCATCAAAATTTTATTTAAAATAATAGAGATATTAATTGAAAAGAATGAAAAAAACGCCTTTCGTCTATATCTATTTCAAGAACTGAATACATCTACCTCCATCGGATGAACGAAATAACAACTGATTTTAAGGAGATTTTAGATTCTTACTTTTTACATAGCTCCACTGACCCTACGCTATTTATCTGCCTTTGAAAACCCTCTTTTAGCGTACTTCTCCAACGACTCTTTGGCATATAATAATACTTGTATTAGAGGTGGCGACGGAATTCTACGGTGCATTATCCGCCACGTTCATTTGATGATTTTGGTTACATCACAGCAAATTGCCACTCAAGTCGGCACGTAGTCAGGACGATTTCTGACCGTACGCGGTCAATGTAATCTGGGCGACGACCGATGAGCGGGGCTTTTTGGGTTTGCAGATCACACCCTGATCACTCCCTAAGCGCTCATTTTCGAAATTTAAAACGACAGATACACTAGGTGCGGCAAATTGTTTAAAATATTACAGTTTCAAAAAAATAAAAAGATAAATGTCTTATCAAAAAAATCGACTAAGTATTTACCATGAAACAACAGTTTTCTTGGACAATTTGTAATTATGATCAATTACTCATTGATTTGAAAAACAAAATCAGTTCATACAAACCCTCTAGATACATTCGTTATCATTATTTTTTCAAGTAAGTACCATTAAATTTCAGAAAGAGAGAAAATTACCAAAGGTTCCGGAGGCGAAGAAACAAAAATTCGAATCCAGATTTAAAGACGCATTTTGCGTGTACAGCCTCGAAATACGCGCAACTACATGATATACTTTTAGGATTCACCTATTTTAAATTAAATGAAGTTTCTTCAATAAAAATACCGAAAATTTAAATGCGTATGCGCAATTCCCATCTCGGCTGCGTATGCTGCGCGTCAAAATGTCACGTAATTCAACATGTAAAAGTACAAACTAATTTTATTCTTCTTCGTGGTCACCGTTTCTGATAAAAAGATTCATATTAAATATGCTTTTAATTTTGTTAATGTTCTCATAGAAGATACTAGAAAACAATTGATACTGAGCATTGCTTTTGCTAGCAGTTCTGCGACTGTTACATTATTCTTCATGTAGAGTACCATAAAACTCGAAATATATTCTGCTATTGTAGGATATAAAAAGTGCATTCTTTTGGATTTACTAACATAGTCTAACAGAATCAACGATGTAATCGCTTTAGTTGGGTTGTTAGCGCCGTGATCCCTTCGTCGTTATTAAGTAGCAGCCACGGTATTATTTATTTATTTATTTATTGAACTATTTTCGATATCTCGCATGGTACGTCCTTACAAAAGTTAAACAACGAAATTTTTAAGTTCAGAAAAAGATTTCATCGAACAAAAATATCTTAGAATTGGTAAAAGAACCCAACCCAACAAAACCCAACCCATCAATCCATCAATTGTTCCGGATTTTTTTCGACAA